CTGAGGGCTATGAGGGAGAATCTCTTTAATGCCTCTTTCCTAGCGTCTGGTAGCTTCAGGCATTCCTTGGCTTTTAGATGGTGTTCTCCACGTCTTTGCATTGTTTTCCTTCCCATTTGTGTCTGCGTCCAAATTTCCCTTTTTTCAATGGACACAGTCAAATTGGGTTAGGGCTCATCTTAATTATCTTGGTTTAACTTGGTCATCTGCAAATATCTTATTTCCAGATAAGGCTACATTCACAGATACTAGGGGTTAAAACTTCATCTTTTTGGGGGGACACAATTCAACCCATGACAGGTGAGTTGGGGTTATATTTCAAAGAGTGGTAAAGCCATTGTTTAATATGTTAAACTTTCCTTTTAGACAAATGAGGAGTCATTAAAGCTTTTTATGCAAAGAAGTAACACAAACAGTTCTGACTGTGATGTGAAAAGGTACCCCCTAAAGTTGAGGGCAAATAGTAGATTTGAAAACTATCTCTTGTTAAAATATAAGATCAGCTATCACTAATTGAATAACTTAACTCTGTGCTGTGTACTTATACTGTGCTAAGTACTTTGTGCATATAAAGTCATGGGATTTTGTAAGGATAGAAATATTATTATAATCTCTTTTTTAAATACGAAGAAACCAGGATTTAAAGAAGAACACAGAGTGAGAAAAAAGAGATACAGATAATTTGTGCCATTTAAACATATTAAGCTTGAAGTGTTGGCTGCATATTCCTATAGTGATGTTAAAGTTGGCAGTTTAAAATTTGGTTCTGGAACTCAGATGAGTCAGAGTAGAGGACAAATACTTAGTGATTATCAGCATCAAGGTGCTATTTGGAGCCAGAAGAATGGGTGAGCTTGCCTGAGAAGGTAGTATAGGATAAAAAGAAAGGAGACACTGAAAACAGTACCTCAGTAAGTTGGCTACACTTGAGTGTATGGAGATAAAAGAAGAGTCAGAGGAGACGTTTGAAAATAGGGTGATAGGCCAGGTGTGGTGGCTCATGCCTGTAATCCCAGCACTTTGGGAGGCTGAGGCAGGTGGATAACCTGAGGTTAGGAGTTCGAGACCAGCCTGACCAACACGGAGAAATCTTGCATTTAACTAAAAACACAAAATTAGCCCGGCATGGTGGCACATGCCTGTCCCAGCTACTTGGGAGGTTGAGGCAGGAGAATCATTTGAACCTGGGAGGTGGAGCATGCGGTGAGCTGAGATTGTGCCATTGCAGTAAGCAATGCATGGGCAGTAAGAGTGAAACTCCACCTCAAAAAAAAAAAAAGTAAGTTTAATCATAGAGAAAGCCAATACCAGAATTTTTAAAATGAGGATGATGATAAATGTATGAATCTGCAGGGAGGCAATAGAAATAGAAAACTAAAATAGAATGTGGTCATTATTAACATTTTAAGGCTGGGTGTGGTGGTCCATGCTTGTAATACCAGTGCTTTGGGAGGCTGAGGTGGGTGGATTGCTCAAGTTTAGGAGTTCCAGACCAGCCTGGGCAACATGGTAAAACCCTGTCATTACCAAAGAAAAATTAGCCAGGCATGGTGGCACATGCCTGTGGTCTCAGGTACTCAGGAGGCTGAGGTGGGGGGATGGTTTGAGTCTGGGAGGCAGAGGTTGCAGTGAGCCATGATTGTGCCACTGCACTTGAACCTGGGTGACAGAACTGGACCCTGTCTCAAAACAAAACAAAATATTTTTAGAGAATAGCATAGCTTCAGTGAGGTGGTGGAACATAGATTATAAAGTATATATAGATGAGTCAAGGAGTTAGACTATTCTTTTTGAGAAATATATTCAAGTATATGTCTCAAATGATCAGTTAAAGTTCGGTTAAAGAACTTTAATTGGACTTTTTGCCTTTTAACTTCCGGTAAAGAACAGTTAAAAGTTCAGTTAAAAAAAAGGAGAGTTTAATTTCTTTCTTTTTTTGTTTAAATTTTTGAGACTTGTTTTCAGTCGTCAGGCTGCAGTTGGAACAGCCTGATCATGGCTCACTACCGCCTCGAACTCCTGGCTTCAAGCAATCCCTGTGCCTCGGCTTCCTGAGTAGCTAGGACTATAGGCAAGAGCCACCATGCCTGGCTGATACTTATTGTTTTTTGTGGAGACAGGGTCTTCCTATGTTGCCCAGGCTGGTCTTGAAATCCTGGGCTCAAGCAGTCCTCCTGCCTTGGCCTTCCAAAGTTTTGGAATTACAGTTGTGAGGCACTGAACCCTGCCTGAATTTTTTTTTTTTTTTTTGAGACCAGCCTCATTCTGTCACCCAGGCTGGAGTGCAGTGGCATGATCTTGTCTCACTGCAACCTCTGCCTCCTAGGTTCAAGTGATTCTTGTGCCTCAGCCTCCTGAGTAGCTGGGATTACAGGCATATGCCACCACACCTGGCAAATTTTTGTATTTTTAGTAGAGACGGGGTTTCACCATGTTGACCAGGATGGTCTCGAGCTCTTGACCTCGTGATCTACCTGCCTCGGCCTCCCAAAGTGCTGGGATTACAGGCTTGAGCCACCGCGCCCGGCCAGAGCCCTGAATTTTTAATGCAAAATGATTTTAGCTTTTATATGGTCAAAGAGAAAAAACCACTGAATTATTAAAACCCAGCCGGGCAGTGTTTCCAGAGGTGCCATTGTTTTGACTTATGTATTATAATTTTTTTTACTTCTCTTTATAGTTTTGCCACCTATGGAAGTAATCCTAAAAAATATTTTATTTTGAAAAAATAAGTAGTATATTAAGCTAATTGAGTTAGGAAAGGGCAGTATATCATAGAGGAAGGCTTCCAGAAGATGGCTGAATAGTCTAGTAGCAGGTTCACTGAGTTTCATGAGCTTGTCTTCAGGTAATCAGTGAGCAAGGCCTTGAGTTCTTAGAAATGGTAGGCACAGCCTAGTCTGGTATGTGGCAGTGGCACAGTATGGGCTGGGTATTGCATATTTGTTCAGCAGGTACATGAAGAGTGCTGTTCTGTATCTTTTATTTCTAAGCCCATGGTGATTTTCCTTCAACACATAGTAGATCAAAACACAACACATCTGGGTCATGAAATGTGTTCTTAGCTGATCCAAGCAGCAGCGCAGGTGGAGTGAGTAGGCATATCAAGGCAAAGCAAATATCAATAAAAATCTGTAACAGACTGATCTGGGCATTCTGTCCTTAGGAACAAAGTTATCTTGGTGATGACAGTTCATCATGCTGTCTGAGGAGTCACATGGCTACATTCTGGACTGGTTGCCCTTTAAATCTGATGTATAGCTAGCATCCTGGAATCTCTCTTCACAGTCTTCCTGAAGATTCGTATTGTTTCTCTCCTATGTTGATTTTTTTGTATCCTGTATTTGCAGTAGTTCTCTTTTTAAAAAAGTTCACTCTCTCTTATTGATGGGATACATTCTCGGGTATCTTGTTGAGAAAGGATACATGGAAGGTAAATGTTTGAGATTTTTCATATCTGAGAAGGTATCTTTATTCTACTTCTATAAGATGGTTTGACTGGGTGAAGAATTCTAGACTGTAAATAATTTTTCTTCATAATTTTGAAGAAATTGCTCCACTGTCATCTTCCTTCTAGTATGACTGTTGAGAAGACAAGTTTGTGTCCTGATTCTTTGTAGTAACATGTTTTCTTTCTAGAAGCTTGTAGAATCTTTTCTGTTCCCAGTATTATGATATTTTGGAATGATAAACCTTGATATATGTGTTTCTTAATTTTTTGTGGTAGACACTTGGTGGGTCCTTTCAAATGGATAGCTCATATCCTTCAGTCTTAGAAAATTTTGTTGATTTACTTCTTTCTTGTTGATTTCTTTCCAAACCTATTTTTTCCTTTTTATTTCTTATTTTTTCCTCATGATTGATTTTTTTGGAACTCCATTATTCAGATAGTGGACTTCCTGGACTGGTTGGTCATCTAATACTGCTATCTTTTCTCTCCTATTTTCTATTGCTAATTTATCTTTTTTTCTCTGGTTCCTGGAGATTGCCTCAATTTTATCTTCCAAGCCTTTGTTTTTTCATTTCAGCTATTGTGTCTTTAATGTCCAAGAATTCTTTTACTTGTATTTTAAAATGTTCTTTATTGGATTGTGATCTGTTCTTACTTTATGCATATAATGTCTTCTATCTGTGTGGAATACGAATATGTATATATACATCCTGTGTTAGATGCCCAGTAATATTTGGCTGTTTGCTCATCATTAAAAGTGATGGACTACAAAGCTAGTTGAAAACTCCATTTTGAATACAGTATGATACTAACAGCTGTGCCTATTATGCGTCAAAGATGCTGTTGTTCCCTCTCTTGAAAGTAACCGATCTTCTTTCGAGGTGGTGGAGGTCTGGTTGCTTAGCACATGGAGGAGAAAGAAGGTCTAGGAATCAAAATACTTTCCAAATAGCTTTCATGGAGTCCTTTTTGTTTTAACCCTCTCCTATTTCCCTACTATCTGCTGTTCCATCATTTCCAGAAGCAATTGGTGTTGCTTTCTGTAGATTCTCCACTGTACAGTTTGTTGTTTCTCAGCTTTTTCTTTTCTTTTTTTTTTTGTGCTGCCAGACCAATTTGGCTTTGCTGGGTAGGCTAACCCACTCAATGTTCATACAGACACTTTCAGTCTTCCAAGGTTTTGTTGTTCTTATCTCTTCCTGCCTGTTGCTTTCACCTCTTGTCTTGTGAGTTTAGGTATAAAATAGTCTTTTACTGTTGTTTTAGTTGGCTTTCATGAGTAAGTGAAATAATACACGTTTTTAATCTGCCATCTTAATCCTAAAGCACAGATTATTTAAAATGTTTAATCTATGTCTTACCTTTTGAGCCTTGAAAGGATTATTAAAGTTAGCCCTTTTCATTTCTTGTTTTAGTTTTTACATTCATATTTATAATATTTGAAACTCATTGTGTGGACTGCTCGAGACTGTGTTAGCTCAAGGATTTATAAGTGAATCCAGAATTTGTAAATACAAAGGTTGATTGTTTTTTAAATTTGCTCTTGTAGGAAAGTGAAAAGGTTTCTGAATATCCAGCAGTGATTGTGGAGCCAGTTCCAAGTGCCAGATTAGAGCAGGGCTATGCAGCCCAGGTTCTGGTTTATGATGATGAGACTTATATGATGCAAGATGTGGCAGAAGAACAAGAAGTTGAGACCGAGAATGTGGAAACAGGTAGACATCTCATAAAATGTTCATTATTTATAACTTTCTCATTTTGTAAGCTTCAACAATACTATTGCCAGATGAAAAATACACTGAAAAACCCCTTTTTAATGCTATTTAGTATAGCTTGGAAACCAGTGAAACATCTCTGTTTGAGGGAATTTGTGTAGATATAAAAGTTCTACAGTATAATTCTGTGAGGTCTAACAATCTTATATCATGGACTCTGTGCACAAAATTACAGCTTCATATAATGATAAAGTTATTTTATTATTTTTTTCTGGGAGTATAAATACTAGCTTTTACTTATAAAGTCAGTAGGCTAGTATTATGAGGACAACTTTTTAAATTCCAAAAATAAATATGGTATTCTTTCATTCTGTAATTGATTATGAGTTTCTTTGAGTTAATATTGATGGAACAGTAAGATTTCTTTTTATGTCAGGGCATATTTGTAGTGTTCTATCAGTTTAGCATTATGAGGACAATTTTTTAAATTTAAAAAATAAGTATGGTATTCTATCATTCTATAATTGATTATGAGTTTCTTTGAGTTAATATTGATGGAGCAGTATGATTTCTTATTTATATCAGAAGCATCTTTATAGTGTTCTATCAGTTTCTTCTTTCCTTTTTGTCTTCTTAGAGATCTTAGTATTTCAGTCTATTCCTGGTGAGATAGCTATATGTTTAATTGGGGATTAGTATCTATAATTCTTAGAGAAATGTGTTAGTTTTTGCTATTGATTATGAAGAAAATAGAGTATTTTTTTTCTTTTTTATTCAAGCTGATCCTTTTACAGAAAATAGAGTATTTTACCAAAAGGATTTTGGTGACTATTATATAATAATAAACATGCAAATGTATCCTTAGCTGTTAATGGAGGAAAAGAATCGTTATACTTGTTGTTTAATCCTAGTAAAAATTCTTTAATATGTAGATACATTTTTATAAATGTAGCAAACTTTCATGATTAAAATTTTGAGTATGTAATGTCTTTCTGCTCATGAGGTCTGATAGCACTCCTTAGGGCTACTAGCTTCCTTCAGCTTAAAACTGTTCTAATTTTATTTTTTGTGGAGCTAAGGGATTGGAAGTTATCTTGCTTTTCAGAGCACTGATTGCAGTGCAAGCAAATGCCAGGTGTAGTGGAATCCATTCCTTTATCAAAATAGGCAGCCAAGCTGGGTGTGGTGGTATGCACCTGTATTCCCAGCTACTTGGGAGACTGAGGCAGGAGGCTCGCTTGAAGTCAGGAGCTTAAGTTCAGCCTGGGCAACATAACAAGACCCTATTTCTAAACAAATAAACAAACCAATAGACCAGGCATCCAGGCATTTCATATGGGCTTCATGACTGTAGTTTTGAGTGTTATCTGGTTTACAGTACCTAATGTATATCTTTTTATGAGCGTTTAGAGAGTTTTCAGTCTGAAGCTAGAAATATAGTGGCAGAGGTGAATTTTCTTCTTGAGAAAGGATAGGTAGAACAGTTAAAAGTATTTTGTATGATGATGTTTTTGATTATATATTGTAACTGATTTTATTATAAGAGTATAACTAAACAGAACACTAATAGCAGAAAAAAACATATGGTAGTATGAATGAAAAAAGTAGAACCTATTTGAAATTTCTGGCTGATGCTTTGGTAAAAAAATGAATAAGGAAAACTATGATTTTGGTAGCAAATTGGAAACTTTAAAAAAGATAAAAACTACAGCAGCAAATTTGCCTGAGTCTGTAAATTAGGATGTTTATCACAATAAAATACTAGAGCAGATTGGCTGAATCTTATAATTTGTATAATTGACTGTAAATATTTTATTAATTTAGATTAATTCAGGTAAAACCAATTCAGAATAGGAAGTGAATATAGTCTACCTAAGGGATTTTATTTTCTTAGTCTTCTTGAACTCTGAGGGTAATGATATCATTTGTTGGGCAGAGATATTAAGGATTGTGAAAAGTAGGATATGGGAAGAAGTCTAGGTAAAATAACAGTTACTTTTGTAATTTGTTTTTTTTGTAAGTGTGTTTTGAAGATTTGATAATAATTTTTAAATTTACTTCAACACAAAAAGAAAATGTAAGCAGATTACTTATATTGTTCTAAAATGGTGTAAAAGCACCTCAAAAGTTCATCGTACATATTTAATTCCATTCTGGCTCTTGGATTTTAATGTAACTTCATAAGGGTTATTAATAATCATAGATTATTCTGAGCTTAATATTGTTTATGCATATTTTCTTTTAGGTAGTGAATTAAGATTAGGCTCATTTCTTATAATGATATGAAATTGAAACTTAGATTACAGATACATGTAGGTTTTGAAGAAGAAGCTGACTGGGAAGAAAAGGAATACTTAGAAGATGGCAGATTTTATCTGGTGAATTGGGGGAATTGAGACCTGTGTAGAATACTTCCCTGTGTATGTCTAGGAAAACTTCATGGAATGCTCCCACATTATAATTTAGATTATGTCAGTCTGAAAAATGTTATAATTATATTTACTGACTTGATCTGTCAGCTCTCTGCATGTTCACATTGAAGTGTTTTTTCCCTTTTATTCCTAAATACCCATATGTATATGTCCATACTATAAACACTGTTCTGTTGTCATCTGGCTTCGAGTACTAAAATCATATAATGATTTGCATCTAGCCATCTTTATTATTTTGTAGAGAAAAGAACTTCTCATTTTGTTAGTAGTAATTATGGGCTGTTTGTTTCTCCTCTTTGTAGACTTAACAGTCTACGTTCCCCTCACAGAGCTTATGTGTAATACTTACGCTCTCTTAAATTGTATAGGAAAAACCAAATATATTTTGAAACTTTAGAAATAGGCATATTCATCTAAAACTTAAGTAAATTGCTTGTGATAACAGTTGCAGATTAGTAATTATAAAGAGCATTTGAGAAAGAGTGATGAAATATAGGGGAAGGGTGGTCTTGACTCTGGCAAGTATAAGTATCTTCCTCAGTGGCTGCAGCCTCCATCAGTTCTAGGGGCCTGCTGGATAGACTTGTGTGATGAGTGAGGGGAGGAAAGGGGTTTTTTGGATTCCCTATAGGAGAAAGTACAGTTTTTATGTTCACGTTTAAGAATTATATATAAATTTAAAAGGTTGTTACAAATTACCATTTAACAAGCACCACGTTTATACCAATGAACTCAATAATAAATGTGTGTTGACAGAAATCTTTTAAGACTGGACTAGGTCGGGTTTGGGTGGCTCATCCTGCCTGTAATCCCAGCACTTTGGGAGGCCTGGTGGTCGGATCACGAGGTCAGGAGTTTGAGACCAGCCTGACCAATATAGTGAAACTCCAGCTCTACTAAAATTACAGAAACTTAGCTGGGCATGGTGCTGCACGCTTGTAATGCCAGCTTCTCAGGAGACTGAGGCAGGAGATCGCTTGAACCCTGGAGGCGGAGGTTGCAGTGAGCTGAGATTGTGCCACTGCACTCCAGCCTGGGCGATAGACTGGACTAAGAAGACTGAGCTATTTAGGATTTGCTTCTTCATCTTTCATCTTAACAAATACTTGTTACTATATTTATCCTCTTAACTTTCCACTTTAGTTTGTGAGAGCAGATTATATCTACATTTGTAATGTGCAAGGTACTGTTTTCAGCATGTTTCTTTTCAGGGGGAATTTAGTTGTGGAGTTAGTATTTCAGTTGGATATAGGATTAATTATAGGGGGAAAGATGAGACAGGAAGACTAGCTGTTGTAGTATGAGTTGAAGGATGTGTTGAGAAATATTAAAACTAGGTAGTAGCAACAAGAACAGAAAGGGCTTAGATAAACCATACTACTATATAACATCTAATAGGATCTTATATGACAGATAAGGGGGAGAGGCATAGTTAGGTAAAATATTATTCTGCTTTTTGACCCTGAGGGATGGTGATAGTAGCACATATGATTTGAGGAAGGCAAGATTGTGTGTGAAGCAGATAAGTTTGCTAATAGTCATGAAGATTTTGAGTTGAAGCAGAACATCTATGGATGAATATTTAGATATTTAAAGATGCACAAATTTGACCCAGTGCAGTGGCTCACACCTGTAATCCCAGCACTTTGGGAGGCCGAGGCAGGTGGATCACTTGAGGTCAGAAGTTCAAGAGCAGCCTGGCCAACATGGTGAAACCCTGTCTCTACTAAAAATACAAAAATTAGCTGGGTGTGGTGGTACAGCTACTTGGGAGGCTGAGGCAGGAGAATTGCTTGAGCCTGGAGGTGGAGGTTGCAGTGAGCTGAGATCATGCCACTGCACTCCAGCCTGGACGACAGAGACTCTATCTCAAAAACAAACAAACAAAAAATGATGCACAAATATGTAGTCAAGGTCCCATCACAAAAGAGATGGCATGCTCAAATTAGAGTAGTTTAAGGAATGTTTTAATAAAGGTTTAGTTGCAAGCATGTGAGCAAATATAAGGTAACCATAAGAGACAGGGCAGTACAAGCCGGGCGTGGTGGCTCACGCCTGTAATCCAAGCACTTTGGAGGCCAACGCAGGCGGATCACCTGAGGTCGGGAGTTCAAGACCAACCTGACCAACATGGTGAGACCCCGTCTTTAAAAAAAAAAAAAAAAGAGAGAGAGACAGGGCAGTACTTCATGAGTTGAAGGATGCAGACCTAGCAATAACAGCTGTTTCTGTCATTTGGCTCAAGGGCCAAGGGGAAGGAAAGGTTACCAGAATCCTGAAGAATAGAGCCCTGAACAGGGAGTCACCCTGGGAGAATCTGGAACCTTTGATCAAAGGAGACAGCTAGCTGGAGGGCAATGCGTCTTCCCTCTAATATCCTGCTAAGGTACTCCATTGACCAAACCCAATCTGAAGCCATGGGAGTCCTGTTGATGAAGTCAGTCTTCAGGGATTGAGAGCAAGGTAAAGAAGGGTGGAGAATAAATCTGGAGGGGCAAATGGAAGATACCTAGTACAACTAAAGCTTAAAGAAAGGCCAGGGAGAAACTGATTTGGGAATCATCCTCA